AACAGACTCTTCAGCTACAGAACCAGAGGACACGATATCCGACCCCTTCATTTTGATGCCAGGACTGTCCAAGATACTCACTATTTTGAGGTCTTAAAGAGCACACCATTAAGTTTTCGGATCCATTTTAAATTACTAGGTAATACCTACACAGATACCTTTCCTTACTCCATCCCTCCCACATCACAGGGGCATCAGAGTTGAGGAGACGCCCAGAAAGGGGCGAGTCTCAGCCTGGGAGGCTCAGAGCCCTGGGGCATGTCTCCACAGCAAAAGAGCCTATTTTAGTTTTGTTAAATCCTCCTCTGTCAATAGATGAGCCTACCCTCTGGGCAGGGCTTTAGCAACAGCTGCGAGAATTCTAGTTTAGGGATTTTCCCCATGCCAGCCGGCTTCTCCCAGATTCCCTGAGCTCCAGAGAAGAAATGGCCTTCCCAGAACTCAGTCTCATCCATGCAGCCCAATTCCCAAGAGCACAAAAACAGCCACCACTCACTGGGCACTTACACCACGCAAGGTCCTGCCTCTCTGCCTACACACTCTCATTCCCTACTCTGGGCCAAGCAGGGGGCTTTGCCCCTCGGTTACAGCCTGCCCAACACCCCACCCAGCTATTAGACAAAAGAGCACACACCTTAAGCTAGGTCAGCTGACTCCAGAGTTATTTACCCCCACTGGCTGTCTCTCCTTGTAGCAGAAGCTGGACGACACCGAAGTCATTAAACACAGGTGGAACCCCTTTCACAAAATTCAGTTGACACCAACTCTCTAAACCTAATCTTTTTAAGTAGAAGGCGTTCAATTTTCTCTCCTCATTCTACGGCCTTCTGTCGACCAAGTGAGTAGGACTTGGTCCTTCTTCCTGCAAAAAGAATCAGTCCAAGAGCGGAGATCCATCCCAACTTTTGCCAACAATGCCTGCCCCTGAGAAGCCCAGGAGAAGGGAATTCTTTTTTTTTCTAAAGCCCTAATCAAGTCCACTGCAGACCTAGTGCCCAGGTGTTAGGATCTTGACCCAGTCACTTTGCCTCTGGGCCCTGGTTTCCTCATCTGTAAAATGAAGGCCTTGGATTCCTGGATCCCAAGAAAACTCAGAATTCCCAAGGGAGAGGCTGCGTGATTCTCGAGACGCCCTCTTGCCAATTTTAACCACACTTCTGTTTTCTCTATTGAGACTTCCGATAAAATGTCGCGAAGGGCACTCTGACTAAAACCTGCTTGAAGATGACTCCTTGCCCACCCCTGAGGACATCCTGAGGAACTCTCCTCGGGAAGCCATAGTTTAGCATCTCCTGGGGTAGAGGTCGGGGTGGGGGTCTTGCAACATGAGAGGGCAGTGCTGACCTTGAATGGGCTTAAGAGCAAAATCAAACCTTTCCGGTCCGCACAGGCAGAGAGGGGCCTTACAGCACAGATATTTCTGGGAGAAATGGGCCCCCCAGTGCAATGAACACCACGGATCCAAACGGTCTGTATGATGAGATACACAAGGCCCCTCCTTTCCAGCCCTGCCTGTGCATCTGATTCACCTGCACAGTTTGTTATAAAAGATCTTCTCCCCAGACCTACAGAATCAGAATTCCCAGGAATGGATCACAGTGATCTTTTCAACAACCCCCCACTGACTGTGATGACCAGCTCGCAGAACCACTTCCCATAGGTTACAGCAATAGAGATACCAAGAGGGTCATTTCCGATCGGCCCTAATGAAGGCTCTCATAAAGACCCTCCAAGGAAGAACAAAACAGAAATCACATCGGCAGTCAGAAGTGTGGGGAGACTGACAACTCAAAACCACAGAAGCCAAGCAAAGGACATTAGCCCAGCCACGCCAGGCCACCCTCCTGTTGCGATCCAAATCCCACCACTAGATGGCAGACACGCACCAGACAGCCTTACCTGCCAGGGTGCTTCCTTCCCAGCAGCTCGGGGTTAAATCCGCCCCCTCCGCGGCGAAACCCGAGCAGGACCGCATTCCTTACATACCTTGCAGGAGGGCTGAAGCGCAGTGGAGGTGGACAGAAGACTGGAAAAGTCCGAAGGGAGTATTGCCATGAAAGTCGGGAATTTCACGAACTGAAAAGAAAGTACACGGCACTGATAAAGAGGCATCTTGAAACATCCACAGGTGTTACTACCTTACGTGAGAGAATCCTGGACCTTTCAGCATAAAACCCACGGAAACACGTGAGATTTGAAGGCAGAGGCCACGCTGGTTTTCCCTGGCCGCGGGCGGTCTGCATTCAACAAAGACTGCACTGAACCCCAGGCCATTGTCATTCTGCAACACATCAGAGGACGCGCTCATCTACCCCAAACACCCTCAGTATCAGAGGCGAATGAATGCTGAGCAGGAACTGGACTGTAGGACAGTGAGTTTGTGTCGGGCAGTTTCATGTTCTCCGGCCCCTCACCTCCACTCATTTCACTGCGAATGGATCGACGTCTGGGTTTAGTCCTAACTCAAGCGGACTCATTTGGCTATGTTTTTTTAGGTTCGCAGTGCATTGAAAAAATATCTTGAGTATAAATTGAGGCATAGCCCAAGATTTAGCAAGTGAATTAACTTCATTCTAAGCAAGTGATCTGTTGAAACTCATCTTCCAAAACAGAAATCTTAAAAAACAAAACAGCAACAACAACAAAATGGGGGCGCCTGGGTGGCTCAGTCAGTTAAGCATCCGACTCTTGATTTCAGCAAAGGTCATGATCTCAGGGTTGTGAGATCGAGCCCCACGTAGGGCTCCACACTCAGTGGGGACTCTGCTTGAGATTCTCTCTCCCTCCCCCTCTGCGCTTTCCCACCACGCCTGCGCACTATTTAAAAAAAAAAAAAGGCAAAAAATTCTAAACATCTTCCACCACCAGATGATGATAGAAATGTGAACTTTCCCACCTGCCAGGTCCCCTTCTCCACCCCTCCCCCTTCCGTAGAACCTTCGAACAGGCTTGTTTTCATCTGAACCGAGGGAGGGTTAGACTAAATCAGCACTAGTCAAGCGGGCGTCTCCAAGCTGTGGAGCGGAAGGTTGGATGTTGTGACAAAGGGTGGGGAGACAAAGCAAAGCAAATTTTGCTAAGGGCCTCACTGGCCTGCCCCACTGTCCCTCCACTTACACGGGAGCAGAACTGAAATCTGAGGACCGAGCTGAGTCCCACGCAAAGCACCCAGCCCCAGAGGTGGTCCGCCAAGAACGGAGGAGGTGGAGAGCAAGGCAGAGGGGAAACACAGCTGAACCGGCTTGCACAAGCACTACCTGTGGGCCACCAGGCAAGGCACTTGCTCCGTGACTGATCATGTCTTCACCGGCCTGGAGAGGACAGTCCTGCCTGACGATAATACCAGCTCTTGTGGAGGCACCTAGGTGTTATTTAAAAACATAGCAGCCTTCTGAGGGTGGATCCCCTTAAATCAAAGTTCCCTTGGATCTGCTACATTCCTTGATGGGCTTCCATGTATCCGTGAAACAAGTGCCTGGAGACAGCAGAGTGGCTCTGCACTGTTAACCTTAAAAATAAAACCGCCAGTTATTTTACCAGCAAAAGATGGATTTATTCGGGAACAGCAAAGACTTTCAAGCTGGGATAAGCCAACTATGGGAACAAAGGAGAGGTGTCGGCTTTTATAGAGGAAAGGGAAGTCGGGAACGCTGTTACAAACAAGTCCATTGGAGGAAACTTGGGGGGGTGGGAAGTATCATGGCCGCTCATTGGCTGAGCTATGCGGGTCTCTCATTGGCTGAGCTGTGCGGGTCTCCCATTGGCTGGGCTGTTGCTGGCGGGAGAGGAGGTAAGCCTTTTTTCCTCCGTTCGGGATAATCAAGTAGTATCCCTGTGCGAGGTCCTCTCTTCCTGCTGGATTTGCAGTTGACAAGGAGTGGTTCGTGGGTAGGGTGCCAGAACACCCGGCCGGACCTCCTGACTCCATTTTAGCGAGGTTTCCCTTCATTAATTTTCACTGCACGGTAATGAGGGTGATTGGAAGGCAGTGGTTTAAGGATGGAAGCCAAGAAGGCGCAGGGTTGGTGGGGGACTGGCGGCTAAGAAGAGCACAAAAGCCAATTATTTTACAATCTTTGGTGGGTGACCTAGGTCTTTTAAAAACAGGGAGATGTGTGGGGTGCCTGGATGGCTCAGTCAGTAGAGCGTCTGACTCGGTTTTGGCTCAAGTCATGATCTTGGGTCCTGGGATCAAGCCCAGAGTCAGGCTCTGTGCTCAGTGGGGAGTCTGCTGGAGATTCTCTCTCCCTATGCCCCTCCTCTGGCTCACAGACGCGCTCGCTCTCTCAAATAAAATCTTAAAAAAAAAACAAAAGGGGGCGCCTGGGTGGCTCAGTTGGTTAAGCAACTGCCTTCGGCCCAGGTCATGATCCTGGAGTCCCAGGATCGAGTCCCGCATCGGGCTCCCTGCTCGGCAGGGAGTCTGCTTCTCCCTCTGACCCTCCTGCCTCTCATGCTCTCTGTCTCTCATTCTCTCTCTCACAAATAAATAAATAAAATCTTAAAAAAAAAAAAAAGAAACAGGGAGATGTAGGAATATCTACATTGATTGGTATGTACCAATAGATATATTCAGAGTAATCACACACACGAGTTCTCTTGAAGTTGTTCACCTTGTTATAAACTTCCTCCACCCACCCCCATAAAGTTTTCTTCCTTTAGACGGTTGCTTGGGGTTTCAATGTGGGAAATGATGGGGTGGTGAATGGCCCAGGGCTAGCAGTGAGGATGTTGGAGCCAGAACATCCCAGGGATCAGAAGCCTTCCAGAAACCTTGGCCCTGGCTTTGGGGGACAGAGGAGAAATGCGCAAGTGCACGTCTCACCAGCATTCCAGGACAGCTGAGGTCTGGGGGGTCCAGCCCCACACCGCGAGGCTTAGCGACAGCAGGCTGTGTGCACTCAGCCTCCTAGTAACATCCACTGAGTCGCTGAGCCCTCACGCCTGCTGGCCTCAGTCACACTCCTCCTGCCCAAACACCACAAAGGAGACAAATTGGCTCTTTTTTTGTCCAGTCTTTATTTACAGCAAAGTACATAGTATGTGGTCATTTTTGTAACTACTAACAATAAAGGCAGGGTGGTAGAAAGGAGGAAGAGCAAGCATCTGAAACAAAGAAAAAAGCCTACGTCTTTATTTAGCTACTCACCCTGTTCCTGAGGCAGTCACCACCTCTAAGAGCAGCAAGGAAGCTGATCTGAACACCAGCCACCTGGCCTGAGGAGGGCAGCACAGGGCCCAGAGACAAAAGATCAAAGGGGACTCTGAGCTCCAGACTGACCCCAGTGCTTTTCCCAACCTGTCTCTGCCTCGTTGTACCTGACACCAAGCCTGTCCCCCCACCCCACCCTGAGACAGGGTAAAAGGCAGTTAGGGAAGCCCAGTGGGTCCTCCCCAGAAGCAGAGCCCTGCAATCCAGGACCTGCCCTAGCCTAACTAACCAACCACGGGTCCTTGGTGCTGGAATCATTGACAGGCAGGTGCGAGACTCCAGAGCAGAAGAAAATACCGCCCTGCCAGAGACTACTACTTCCCTCCGCTGGCCTTAGGTGCTAGCTCAGGTCAAGGCTGCTAGATCAAGGGCGCTGAACAAGGACAGTGAAAGGGGTGATACACAAACCGACGGCTCCAGGCCCTCCTGCTTCCCAACCGCTTTGAGGAGCACGCGAGCCTTCAGCCTGACCTAGTGGTCTCATGAGAGACTGGCAGTCTGCCCTGGGCACGGAGACAAGTGTCCAGTGCCGATCCAAGGACAGGCAGGACGGCGGCATCCACATGACCACTGGGCAGCCAAGAACAGAGCAGGTTCTTGGAGGAATGATGGGCTCTGAAGGATGAACTGGAGTCCTTCCCCTACCACCCTCCCCTGGTCTGTTCTTCAGGGATCCCCTTGTCTAACCACTGCCTCTTCGAGGCCCTACCCTATCTACTCCGAAGTTCTAAACACTTGTGAGCTCCTCCTACAGAATCCAATCTCTCTGCCCCTACTGGCCTCAGGTGCCCAAGAAAAAAACCTGGGTCAGCACAAGTTCCATTAGCATGAAGGAGTGTGAGGTCTTCCCATGACACAAAGCTTGGATGCTTGTTCCTTAAACACTTGGTGTATGGGTAATACCTGGTGGGGGGGCGGGGGGAAGCAAGCACCATTGGGCAGCTCTGAAGACCCAGGACTCCCGTGCACACATGATCAACATTACCCCACCCTGCTTGTTGGTACCTACCCCCCTGGACCACAGAGAGGACCCAGAGGACTCGGGTCATGGTTTCTGGCCTAGTTATCCTACTGCTGACTCTCCAGTAGAATCAGAGATCTAATGACTCTCAAAATACCAAGTCCAGATTTGTCGTATAGAAAGCTCAAGTTCAGATAGTTGGCTAAATGCTGAGGGGGCCACGCAGGGGCGGAACTTCTCATCCCTTCCTTGCCCCACACAGTGTGTCACAGAACCAAGGGAGTTGTCAGTGTTGCCCAGTGAGCTCGGTCCAGTGCCCCAAGCCAAGCCACCAAGAATTGGTGACGGTGTTTACCAGGAGGCAAGGCAGCCTAGAGCCGTTTCCCAGCTAGGACTGGGCTACTCAGACACTGGAGGCTTGGTCCCAACACCACAGGTAGATGAGGAAGTAGCTAAGGACGTCAAGGCTCAGAGACGAGAAGACTCCATTTTCCAAGGCAGTGGGACAGACAGCCAAGGCACTAAATGGTTTGGCACCTGGGAGCTTCAAGTAGTGTTGAATGTGCTACCCACCGAAAGGCCAAGGCTCCCTGAGACAGGGGTGGGCTGCCCCTGAGCACAGAGAGGCCCCATCAAGGCCAGAGGCCTTGAGTCCCCAGGATCCTAACCCAGGCCTGCCACCCACCCTTCATCTCAGAACCGTGCAAGGCGTGACAGAAAGACAATATTGATTCTGAAGCACTCCAGAACGTATTCATCCCGGTGAGTACCGGCCTCAGACATAGGCACCTCAGGAGCCTTCCCTTGCCCCAACCCCAGCGAGCCCCCCCCCAGGGCCTGCAGCTGTCTCTGCAATGTCTCAGGGGTGGCAAAGCTCTGCCGGGGAGGAGGTCTGACTTCTTGAAATGGCCAGAGTGAGAGTCACATTGAGTCCAGAAAGGGGGAATCAAAACTGGATGGCGGTGAGTCTGAGGGACAATTCGGTGTGACTAGAGAGACACGGTGCGTGTCAGATGTACCCGAATGGCTCCAGCAGGCTAGGAAAGCCAGGGTGGGGGGCGGGGGACAGAAGTTCCCCCAAAACGTTTCAGGCGGTGGAAAGGCTGCGGGCATGGCCTGCCAAGCACTGAGACCATCAAGAGAGAAATGGAAGGCTCTGGCTCGTCTGCAGTTAACAGTGGAGGCTTTAGGACCCAAGCATCATCCCTCCTGGGTCTCACTTGATCCCCCCACTTCCTCCACCCCTCCACCAAGAATCTTCAGGGATCTGTACTCCTCTCAAAGAGGGAGCCCTCAGGAGAGGTGGGAGTCTCTCCCCGGTAACCATGGCCATCCGCTTGGCTGGCATGCTGCTAGAGAGCATTCCTGCTGAAAGGTGTATGCTGTCCTCGCCCCGTCGCCAGGCCCTGCGTCTCAGTGAGCAGAAACGACCACTCACTCCCCATGCCACCCTGCAAAGGGCTGTCAGCTGTCCTTCTGCCAGCAGAAGTCCTCAACCAAAGCCCAGACTCCAGAGGCCACCGTGCATGCTACCCTCTGGGAAAAGGCCCAAGGAGTCTGATCGCAGACTTCCCTGGGAGGCACAGGGAGCCAGCGTTTCCTCAGACCCCACACCAGGTACCGTTCTACTCTCTCCTTCCCCATCTTACCAGAAGAGAGCCTGTCAAATCCCTGTCAGGGAAGGAGAGAGGGGCAGCTTTGGCTTTTGGAGAGACTGAGACTGAGAAACAGGTGGGTCAGGAAGGAGTGGCTGAGCTACCCGGGCAGCCAGAGGTGGGGCATTGGGCAAGAAGAAAACACAGAAGACTTGTTCTCCTCAGTGGGCGTCTTCCCTGAGTTTGATTTTTGAGCTGAGGTCTTGCCTAATTTCAACTCAAAAAAAAAAGAAAGAAAGAAAAGAGTATCTCTTGTCGACACATCATTAAGCTCCAGCTCCAAGTATGTGGCATCTGGCAGGGCAGGGGCAATCTAAGGCTCCCAACTCCATCGTCCTCGAGCCACACGGGCCCGAGAATCATGAGCCGGGAGCCTCCCTTCTCCTGCCCCCCAACCCCCCACCGCCCCGGAAACAGCGGCCGTGGCCCCTCGGTGAGACTCCAGCTCTCGAGTCCCGAACACTCAAGTGACAGCAAACAGCTTTACAGTATTTGTACATTTACACAAAAATAGATCCTTTTATATATATATATGTGTATTTATAACTGGTTACACGTTGGATTCATAATTAGGCATCACCAGTAGTAGTTGGCACAGTTTGTCATTTAAGCTCAGGGTCAAATTCGGTTTCATTTCGCCACTCCAAAGCACAAAAAACAAAACAAAAAAAGGAAAAACAAAGGCATGTCATCTCCATGGTGTGTTCTTAAATACAGCAGTGTCCTAGGAAAGCACATGTACGGATGAACAGTGCCTCCTGATCCCTCCTCCTGTCTCCTGAAGATAGGGGCCAGGCCTGAAGGAGACAGGGGTCAATGGGGCCGGCTGCTGGACTCAGACGACTGCCTCTTGCGTGAAGGGATGTAGCCGTTGAGATAGCCATTGGTCTGCCGTTTGGAGAGCCCTCCGTTCAGGATGTCCTGAATGTGCTGCACAATGAGGTTGATGGCCACTGTGAGGCAAAGAGTGGCCGCGTCAGGGACAGTGCGGGGAGGAGACAAGCCTTCTACCAGGGAACCCACCCGCGCCCCGTCCCAAGTAGCCTGATCCCCACAGAAGGCTCTTCCCTCTAAAGGAAATGTAATATGGGACTCTCTGTTCCTAGCATTAGAAATAAATGATACATCTCAACCAAGTGATTGATGTTAACATCACCAGACACGGAATAAACATCAAGTGCGCCCTGAGATGCTGTGAAGAACATGCAACACATCTCTCCTATGGTATCCTCCCCAGCTTGTATAAACTGAATCCAATCATGAGGAAACAAAGATGAATCCAAATTGAGGGCCATTTTACAAAACAACGGGCCTGTACTCAAATCTGTCAAAGGAGACTATCCATCTTCACCTCCCTGAATGGCATGGCTGTTCCATGGCTATGAATGAAAATGCCCTTCTCTTTAAGAAATACACAGTGAGGGGTGCCTGGGGGGCTCAGTTGGTTGGGCATCCGACTCTTGGTTTCGGCTCAGGTCATGATCCCGGGCTCATGAGGTCGAGCCCCTCGTCAGCCTCCACACTCAGTGGGGAGTCTTTCTGAAATTTTCTCTCTTCTTCTCCCTCTGCCCTTCCCCCTTTCTCTCTCTCTCTAAAATAAATTAACTAAATCTTAAAAAAAAAAAAAAAGAAAGAAATACACAGTGAAATATTCATCGCTATGATGGGCTCTCAAATGGCTCAGCAAAAAAAAAAAATTTAACTGTTTAAATGCAGGAAAGTTAAAATTAATTTAAAAAGAGAATGAGGGGCTCCTGGGTGGCTCAGTTGTTAAGCGTCTGCCTTTGGATCAGGTCACAGTCCCAGGGTCCTGGGATCGAGCCCCGCATCAGGCTCCCTGCTCAGCGGGAAGCCTGCTTCTCCTCCCTCTCCCACTCCCCCTGCTTGTGTTCCCTCTCACTGTGTCTCTGTCAAATTAAATCAATAAAATCTTTTTAAAAAAAATAAATAAGAGAATGAGAAGATAGAGACTTCTCACAGATCATGCCCCAGCCTGCCTCAGTCCAGAGGTACCCCTACTTCTCAGACACGCCAAAACCAATAAATAAATAAATGCAAACAACTCCCTTTTGGAAAGGCTACCTTGATGGCAGGCCATTCTAAATTAAGAAGAAAATGTGCTTTTGCTAAAAGGTGGCCTTGGATGCAAGGCCCCAAAGTGTCATCGCTGGGAGGGACAGCAGAGGAGAGTCTCCAGCCCTCTGCTTTCTGCTAGAGAAGCACCAATTCCTGTTTTGTCACCAGGCCCATACACACGTATGCACAGGGGCCTGTTCCCAAGGCCAAACGTGTAGGCAAAAATTCCTTTCTGGATCCCAAAAGAAGAGCAGTGGTTCAGCCACATCCATGGAGCCTTGCTTGGTAACCACATCCTGTCCCAAAGTAGGACTGACACAGGGTAGAAGTTATGCCCCAGGGGATAACCCTCCACCCCCCGACCTGACCAGGACTCACCTAGATTATCTGCACCTCTAGGAATGATCACATCAGCATATTTCTTTGTCTGTGGAGAAAGATATTCACAATGCATTAAAGAGGAGTTCCAGAGAAACTGGCCCAAGCCCCTCTTGAGGGGCCATGAGGGAAGGGTCAGCCTCTCTACCACTGACCCCAGAGGGTGGCAGCTTGAGGCTACGAACATAGTATTTTCTATCCCCTTTATCTCAATTACAATATATCAGCTCTCTTGATTTCTCATTATTAATGGTTTAACACTGTTTAAGCTTATGACCTGTACAGAAAACGTGGTCTTTGAAACCAAACTTGTAACTGCCTCCTCCCTATCAAGAAAGATATGAATTAGAAAAACCCAAATCAAAAAGGGAAGTGGTTCACCTGGACTTCTACACACAGTCTGAAAGGTGACACCATTGATCCTAACGCAAGGGTAAACCCAAGAAAAATAATTCCCCCCCATGACCATTTTCATTGGCTCTGTTATCACACCTAAACAAAACAAAGTAAAGCCACAACTAGATACATTCCCTTTTTTGTTTTCTTATTTTACTGGGATTTTGTGGACCACTTTACAAATAACTGTGTTCTGGTGTATGACCCAAGTTTAGGATAAGACCACAAAAATGCCTTCAGCGCGTGGGCATCTTCTGTACTAGAACCGTTCAAATGGAAAACCTGTGTCAGGCCCAAACCCAACCTGAACTAGGCAGACAATTTATCAGATCCAAGCACCTGGCTTTCCCTGAGCAAAGAGTGGCTGGACAGTGGGAACAAGCAGAAACCACCCAGAAAACGTGCAGAATTTTAAGCTCCATTACAACTAAGTGAAACAGCAGAAAATTGGCAGTTAACTCTAATTTATGTCCAATAAGTTTACCTTGCTCTATTATTAAGGTAAAAAGAGCAGGAGAAGTCCTCAGAGAGATAGATGGACAGACAGAATTTCCTGGCTTCTCCACTCCCTCTGCCCTCTGCCCAGAAACCTAATCCTGTGACCCAATCCTCTCCAGGGGAATGACTAGGGCATCAGCGTTACTCAGACTGACTCAGAAAGTCCACCTGTCCCCAATCTGAAACAAAAGTATAGTCTGGTTTGATGCAGAACCTTCTAATAGACTTGAAGGAACAGATAGTTTGAGATCATACTTTTCCAGGAGAAAGACAAGTTCATTACTACGAGAAACAGAGAAATTCCCACACTCAGCCTCGCTCTACTCTCGATGCCCTCAGATTCCAGTCTCCCAAAAGAGATTACCCAAGATCAGGCTAAGCCCCAATGTCTCCCCACTCTCACAGCTTAATTATAAATCATTAGGGAGTTAGACCATGGTGAGGCCAACCTGGTGCAGACACACGACACAGGGGCAGGCGTCTCAAACAACATCGTCTCCTACGTCTTCCTCTACCACCCCCCCCACCCCCACCCCCACCCTGCATCTCTTATCCCTGGTGGCCCTCCCTCAACACTCACCTGTCTGTCCCCATGAAACCGAGTGTGTTTCCTGTGCCAAGGGCTGATTCACTAAATGCTGAAAATTCCCCATATCCCCAACCTTCCTTCTCTGAAAGCCACCTCCCCAGAGAGTTCCCAGCTGCCATAGGAGGACTGATGAGCCTGAGCCAGGGCAGAAGTATGGAAGCTTATTCCAGCATGGCAGGATACTTCCCATAGGGGAACGTATCCAGGGGCCAAAGACAAGCTCAAAGGGGCGGGGAGGCTCAATGCAGTGGCAAAAGAGATTCAGAAGGAAATACCCTATTGCTGAGCCCTCCCTGCACCAATATGCAACCATCACAGACCTTTTGAAGATCCAAATGGCCAAGTCTATGCTTAGGTATGGCACACCCTCACACCCTGAGCCCACCAAGCAAGGAGTGCAGAACTTGCTGGAGTCAGACAGCAGGACCCTGAAGGACCATTCTGATGAAGACGGTGGCCTACAGCTCCCAGAGAACACAAAGCCTCAAAGGTTGCCCTTTCTTGGGACTGGAGGGAAGACAGAGGATCATTCAGAGAGGAATGAAATTCAGGCTGGGGGCTCCATCAACTTACATACCTTTATGTGTACGATTCAGTTTTAAATTCTAAATTCAACAAAAAACAAACCAAGAACACAACTCACTGGCAAGCAGAATTCCTCAAAGGCAGGCTTGACGAACGTAATGTACTGAGATAAAATCTGCTCAAGGTCCCTCCCTCTTTCGCTGATGTCCCTTAATACTATAAGAAAAGGAAAAACAAGAATCAAGAAAATGGTGCATGAGCCAACACATGTCCACCCTTCGTGAGGCAGACCAGGCTCACATGGACTCCACAATTACTCTGGATGATTCACAAGCTGGATTCCTGAGAGACTTGACCAAGAGCAGGTCAGCAGCAGCTTCAAGAAAAACAAGTTACATTTTTATTGCTATAGTCAAATTTGGCTATGACATAAGGATCTCTGAAGCAAAAGGCTGTCCAGCCTCAGCCAACAGTCTTCTGGTTTCAAGCAGCATTTGACCCAAATAAATCTGCAGTGTGAACAACATAAAAAGCAGGACAGTCCTGCGGAGCTCGTAACAGGGAGTAGACGGGGCCCAGAGAGGTGGTGGGGCTCCCTGGCAAAGGAGCCCCTTGCTCACCTGGATGCTGTCCCCTTGCACTTACTTACCTGTGTGCAGTCCACTGACCTATTGCTGATGTGCCACCTTATCATGCCTGGCTCCCCCCACATTCCAGCCCCTACAGGGGTGGAGGGCAGGCAGAGGGTCCAGCTGTGGTCAGCCATTCCTGCTAACCTCAAGCAGGGAGGCTTGCCAAACAGAAAACCACTTAGTGAAAGACGGCCATACCATGGTTTTGGAAATGGTGGGCTGGAGGTGTAAAGCCACCCAGATTGATCCACACTCACCATCTTCTACCTTCTTGTCTGGGACAGTGTCATTTAGGGACTTTCATCCAACACCTTTATTATTTTAACGGAGTCTTTTGTCAGACAAACAAACAAACAGAAAAGGGTCCAACCATCTAAGGGATTGGAATCCTGGCTCTGCCACTCGGCACTAACATCCCTGAGCCTCAGTTTCCCCCCGAACTCGGTAGTGAGAGTTTGGAAGGAGATTCGCTCTGTCCAAACAGCGCCTCCCAACAGGTGTTGTAAATCTTAGTACCACGGCTGCTCAGTCTTCCAGCCCCACCTTGAAAGGGTACCCTGTCCATCAACGATCATTCGTGAAGGCCTTTTTTTTTTTTGAGACAGAGAGAATGAGAGAGACAGAGAGCACACGAGAGGGGGGAGGGTCAGAGGGAGAAGCAGGCTCCCTGCCGAGCAGGGAGCCTGATGCGGGACTCGATCCCGGGACTCCAGGATCATGACCTGAGCCGAAGGCAGTCGAGTCGCTTAACCAACTGAGCCACCCAGGTGCCCTCGTGAAGGCCTCTTGGCTTCTCTCAACCACTGCTCAGGTTAGACTGAGCGAGGGATGCACCTCACCGCAAATGAACTAGGGGACACTTGTGAGTGAATTTCTGGACAGCCACGTCTCTAGATAATTCCGTGCGTCCGCACACCCGCATGCACGGGCCGCGGGTAGGATTCGGGCTGGTGTGCACTCTGTGAGGATCAGATGACTAGAAGACCACATTCCAGAGCGTGAGGTGCTGCTGCTAGACCTCCTGACTCCTCCGCCTGCCCCTCCATTTACAAGGAGCCTTCTCCGCATGAACCCTGGCCTTTAATGCGCTGTCAGGACTTGCCTCACAGCCCCTCCCGGCCCCGGGGCTGCCAGACGTGCCTCCCCCAGCCGGGAAACGGTGTTCTCGGGCATTCGGGCGCCGGGGGCCAGGGAGACGGGGAGACGGGGCCAAGGAGGCCACCGACGAGCCGCCACGTGGCTCACCCCCACAGGCCTCGGGAGCCCTGGCACGCCAGCTAGTGGGCTCCCCTGGGCCAGAACACACAGCCAGTGTGGCCTCCAATTTCTTCACGTCCCCAGATAAAGTACAAAGAAAAAAGGAAGCCAGGGCAAAGGGTATCAGAGCTGGGGGAAAAAACAAACACACGCCCGCACTCGGGCAGCTTTACTTAAAAGCCCTGCAAAAGCCTGATGTGCTTGTTTCACAAGACATGCTTTGCACGCTCTCCCGCTGCCCTGGGACCCAGCCTGCAGCCCCCTTATCACCTGTCAGCTCCTCCCGACAGCTCCCCCCGCCAGGCCACTGCATGAGGAAGGTGCCGGGGGAAGAGTGTGGGGAGCAGGAGAGTCACACTGAGGCTGCTCCAGGGCCCAGAGCTACCCCTCGGCCCGCCATCGGGAGCAATGCAGGCAAAAGTGACCTGGGTTGGAATCCTGACCCCACTCTTACCTCTGTGACCTTAGGTTACTCGACCTCTGTGACTCTCATTTTCCTTAACTGTAAAACAGAGACATGATACACAGAGACTTTCTCATCAAGCCGTTACTCCTCAGGATACAAGAGGATGGACATGAAACTCTTCAGCGCTGTGGCTGGCGCATAGTATGTGTTCAATAAACCTGAGTTTCTGCCACGGATTATGATGGTAACAGAACCTGGGAAGCTTCAGGAGAGGGATGGCTCCCTGACAGAGCAGACCCCTGGAAGGGCAGCATCTGTGAGCTCAGGCGAGCACAGGGGAGCAGAGCACACCGAGAGCAGGGTCCCGCAGAACAACAGGGAGTGGGGGGTGCAGTACGGGAGGGACAGCAGGGCACAGACACGTGGGAAGACACGGTGGGGAGGGCGAAACAGGGAAGACAGGGAGGAGCCATCCTACAGTTTCTACCCTGGAAAAGGAAACAGGAAACGGGTGAGAATGTTGCCCAAACACTGGGAATGTGCAAAATCAAAAGGCATCGCCCACCTCTGCTCCCCGAGAGCCTTCCACTGAGTTATCACCTCAAACAGCCCGAGACCCCTCCTCAAGCCAAGGACAACACAAGGCCAGCCCATTCACTGCACCGAAGTGCCCTGCTTCTCAGGCGAAGTTAGGAAACAGGGCCAAGCCAAGGACTGAGTCACAACAAGGTCCTGGCACAAACCGGAAACTCCAGGGACTCAAAACCGGCTCCCTGATCATCACTCTGACCCAGCACATTTGCTTGGAAAGGAAAGGCCCTTTCAGAAGAGGGGGGAAAGGGCAGGAAACTACCCGTCTGCCTACCTTCCCTGCTTGGCTCTCACGGCCGCCCTTCCAAAGCCACCAGGGCTCCTCTAGTCAGCCAAAGCCAAGAACGAAATTTAAAAGGACCCAGAATAAATATAATTCCTCAATGGTTCAGCTGATTCACTTTAAAAATTAGTTGAGGAAATGTGTTACTCTAGTAACAGAACAGACTATCTCAAGGTCCACTGCAGCCCTGAAGCTATGGGAACTGGACACAGAATTATAGCAGTATAGAGAGTAGGTGTCAGCCCTCCTTGGTCCCCTGTCTCAGTTCTTCCCCGTCCCCGAATTCAAGGGTGGGTTAAGAGTAAATAACACACATGGAGGGAAGGTGAAAGCTGGAAGAAACCAAAACCCCCAAAGTATGAGGGGTTCCCATGATGGAGGTAAGTGTTTCCAAGGCTGCATGGCTCAAAGGCAAATCCCCCGTCCCACATGATGGTCAACTCTGACCGCGAGGGTCACAAGCCCAGGAAGTGTGACAGTGGAACGGTAAAACCATGGCACTAACTCAAGTCTCCAGGACTGTTCTGAGGCCCAGCAGCTGCTCCTGACTAACCCACCCTCCCATCCCACAAAGCGCATGCCAGGCATGTTTTCTGTCCTACTTGGACAGAGAAATGAACTTGTAGAAGCTGCATGTGGAAACGTCCCACAAGTCCACCAGAAAGTGACTCGCCAGCAGGTGACAGGAGAAGACAGAGGTCTGAGAGGGAAAGCGGCCGGAGAAACCCCACAGAAAGCCACCATCACCTCCTGTCTCCCCCTCGCCCCCGTTTCGCACAATGATCCAAGTATAAGAGAGCAAGGGAGAATTTTCCATGTCATCGGTGCCATGATGATCTGTTTGAATCAGAGGCCAAGATCGTCTGATTTCCAAGGACTCTGAATTCTGTACTTCTCAAACTTGGTTCTATTTTCCTGGGCCACGGCTCGCATGCGCTCCTCCCTCAAGCATAACTGCACCCCCCGGGGCTTCAGTACCATGTGCTGACCGAACAATGGGATCAGGCCGGTGTCTCAGCTCCTGAGGATGCGATGACGACTCAGGGGCTCTGACCAGTCCTGAAGGAAAACTCAGGCAGAACATCTACCATCTCAGGCAAAGCAGAGTCCTGATCTAACACACCAGCTAATGCACCGCCAGGCATTTAACCTGCATTACAGCTCACCCTCACAACCCAGGGGTACTGATCAATATGTAATCAACCAACTCGAGTATCCCTATTTATGAGGTACAAAGAGGTAACAACATAACCTGCTCAAGGTCACACATCTACTAAATGGTGAAATCAGGATTTAAGTCCAGTTCATCTGACTCCAATTTCTCCCCAGGTGCATCATGCTGCCTCCCTGATTTAACAGACTAATGGGGACATCGAGTAGATCAACCACGGCAGGACCTGGGTCTGGGGACTAAGGTGATAAGCCAGGCCCTGGGGCAGATGCATGAGGGACTATCAGCCTCCGGCCTTGATTATCTATTAAAAAAGACCATGCAACTCTTTCCTGGCCAAAGTCATGACCCTAAAAATAGTCCTGTTTCTTTCATCTTACCCATAAAAAAACCCAAGCCTGGGAGGTCACACGAGTCCCAAGAGCCACCAAAGTCACAAAGCTAGCTGGAGGCTTTGGGACTAGAATATGGGCCTCCCACCCTCCTTTCTTCCATCGAGGAGTTCTACCCCCCACACCCCACCTGGGAGTAGAGTGTAACAACAATTCACTTAATAGCATGCAGACACTACTCCTTAGGAGGACAAAACCCAGGGACTCATTTCTCTTTATTCCGCTGGTTCCATTTATAGTTCTTGCAAAGAGAGGACGTTTAAGTGGATAAACCACAAATCTGTTTCATGAACCGAGAAGAGAAAACGTCACAGAATTTGAGGTCAGAAGGCTCTGGGCTGGAACTTATAAAATTCCAATCTGCCCACGATTTGCTCTGTGACTAGGAGTCACTCCCGGGGTCTCGTTCCTCTTCCACGCAACGGGGACTTGAAGCCTTGCTCACTTTCCTCACCTTCTGTTGCTCTTTTCCTCACCCTCACCCCCACGGCCTCCACAGGGGCGGGGGGGGGGGGGGCTGTCATTTTCTGACTCTGCTGGTACCTTTCTCATCCCTGCCACCTCCTACAGCAGCCCTACCTGCAGTCTTCACTTCTACTCCCTCCATCAGAGTCATCTCCCAACAGAGAGCCGAGGCCCTTTTGCTTGCCCTGCTCAAAACCCCTTGGTAGCTCACCTTCGTGGACCAGGGACCAAATGGGAAGCCACGTCCCCGTAATCTGCCTCAAGCAATTTCCAGCATTTCTTCGGACAGCCCTCTAGGAACTCCAGCCACCTGCTTCCCGGGACAAGCCCCGTGTGTCTGTATCTGCACCGTGTATTTTCATGGGTTGTCTATGTCATCACCCTACCCCATCCCCCGTGAAGCCTCCTGATCCCCACGGCGGGGAGGAAGGGTTCCACTCCATCCCTGCAGGGCTGAATTCACGGGCTCTGCTCCCCAGCGAAGGGCAGCTGTCCCTCAGGACACCAGGCACGGGGACCTGCACAGGCACACCCTCAGTAAGGCCTGCAGAGGGAATGACCGAGCGACTTTGCTCTGCAGCTGGCTAAACAGAGTCACCAAACCTCCACAGAGCTTTCTGGAAAATAAAGGGCTAGAGAAGTGGGCTGGTGGGATAAGCTGCCCAGTGCTGCAGTCACTAGGATTCCTACCCCCAGACATCCTAGTTAGTTCCTGTCTTGATTACGATGCCTGTGGGAAAACCATAAAGAACTGGGCATTTAATCAAACTTTTCTCCAGCAAAATCACAATGTAAACTTCTGATTTCATCTCGTGACCTCACAGGCCTTTCATTACCCAACACAGTGACTAACCCCTTCTCAGATGTCACCAAGTGTTTGAGAAGCAGGACATCCTGGGGCTGAACTGACTCAGCTGGACTGGGCCACCAACAGGGCCACTGGAGGCTTTTAGAACGCACCTCTGCGGGAGAGCCGGGTGTCCGCATCTGTGTCCACGAAAAGCTTCATCTGGAAAAGGTCTCGCACCTCCTGGGAGTAGAAGGCCAGGATCCCTTCAAAGAGCACCACATCCGCGGGGTAGACAGTAACCGTCTCCTCCTTCCTGCAAAGAACAGAGCAGATGATGAGCCGAACCAGGCAGGGTGGGCAAAGGGAGGAGGACAGCAGTGTCTGTCTGGGAGTCTGGGGTCCCCTCCCTGTAGACCTACAGCAGGACCGGAAGGGGGAGCTAACGCAGCCTTGCAGGGCCCTCGGACCACCACTGAAGACTGACCAAAGGGCCATCACGACCGGGGCAAAGGTCTCTGACCAGCTCTTCTGAGCTCTCACCATAAAAAGAGAAGGCAGTCATCCCTCTCCTTGGGATAAGAAAAAAACAAACATGCTGTTGAACACACAATGGAGACAGACAGAAGCAGATGTGATTTCTTCTTCTCTCTGGGGGCGTCTCCAGGAATGCTCTCAGGCCCGGCACTTATGGAAGCTAACACTGAACTTTCACAAACAGAAACTCACAGTCTTCTCCCAACAGCCCCACGCCCTCCCCTTGTCCGGAGGCAACTGAAGGAGGCAGGAAGGGATGGGAGAGGAGGAGGCAGAAAAAGGAAGTTGCGGAGAAGGAGAGAGAGGAGAGGAAGCATCTACAGGGAAGGAAAGCGTCCCGAGGTCCGTCTGGTCTGGCTCGGGCATTAGCAGCACTGTGGCTGTGGGTCCGGGCCTGGAGGCCCTCCTCCTCCTCCTCAGTGAGGCAGGGGTGCGCGCTACCTCCCCATCTGCCCCACAGGGTTGCCATCTGCTTCTGTCCTAACCATCCTCTACTGCCTCTTGCTCAAGTCACTGAAAGGAAGGTAACAGTTTCCACTGCAAGGTTTACTACTCAGGCGGACACTGAGGAATAAAACCAAATAAAACATCTAAGACAATGGGTTTATCTGTGCAAACACAGGGACCCCAGCAGCTGCCCATGCAAGAGGATGCACTGAACTTCCCTCCCATAAACACTCTTTGATTCCTTATTAGCTCAGACCCTCGGGTTCCTGTCTAAGTTCTAAGGTGGCAGCAACTACCAAAGTGGCAGAACATGAGGCATAAAAGACAACAGAAGAGGACCGGGTGAGTACGAGGAGGAGACTCTCTAGGCCAATGATGGAACTCTGGATGCACACAGAACCATCTGGCGAGCTTCAGAACAAATATGTATGCCTGGGGGCATCTGGGTGGCTCAGTTGGTTCAGACTTGGTTTTGGCTCAGGTCATATCTCAGGGTCCTGAGACTGAGCCTCTGCGCTGAGCATGGAGTCTGCTTAAGATTCTCCCTCTCCCTCTGCACCCCTCCCCACCGCACACAGGCGCGCATGCTCTCTCTCTCAAATAAATAAAATCTTAAAAAAAAAAATGTATGCCTGGGGCGCCTCGGTCAGTTAAGCATCTGCCTTTGGCCCAGGTCATGATCTCAGGGTCCTGGGATCGAGTCCCGCATCAGGCTCCCTGCTGAGCGGGAGCCTGCTTCTCCCTCTCCCTCTGTTGCTCCCCCTGCTTGTGTGCTGTCTGTCAAATAAATAAAATCTTTAAAAGAAAAAAAAAATGTATAGTTGGGCCCTACCCCTCAGGGCTCTGATTTCATTTGCCTGGGGTAGAGTCAGAGCCCTGGTATTTTAGAAAACCGCCCCAGGTGTTTCTAACATGAGGCCAGGGGTGAGGAGCACCAGTCTGGAGGAATGTCAGCTACCAGAAAACAGGGTGCCCACTGTGGTTTAGGATAAAGAACCCAACTGGACAGAGCTGAGAAGGGAAATGGGCTAGAAAAAAGGATCAGTGAGTGAATAAAACAATGAGCCGCTGTAGGCAACTGCCCTACAGGAAGGAGGGTGGAAAAGTCTCTGCTGGGAAACAGAGAATGTTTCCATTTGTGTGGGGTAAGGGAAACTCCCAGGGCTCCGTCTGGGAAACACTCTACCAGAGAGCACCTTGTCCGTGCTAGGTGTACGTGCGCTCACACCACGATCAGGACGCCTAGCTGGTAAGCACGAACAAGGAACAGGTAGGTGGTTTTCCAACTCAACAAACATGCTCTTCAATCCTGAGAAAGCAAGGAGAACGCTGTCCATGCTGTTGTAGGTGCCCCAAGAAGCTGGGATCGACCCCTTCCCAAGTACGCATGTACATCTAGGGAGGAGAACCCTTCAAAACAGCCCAGAGCTAAAAACAACATCGATTGAGCAACTACCAGCCCAGAACACGAGAGGAGCCATACTTGGTGCAATATTCCGTGGAGAAGTTCAGAGTCTGGCTGGGAAGTCCACATAAGATACCGAGATGATTAGAGCATTTGAGATAACCTGAATCCAAGCTTCTCGTTTGGCTTATCAGGAGGGGCAAGGCCAGAGAAGGGTATTTAACAGTAAACAAGAGTCTTCTCTTAGTCCAACATCTGTTTGTACGTCACCGTGAAAGGCCCGTGGATGGGTTGGCAGCAGTAAACTCTAACAGCTGGGTCCCTAACGAGTGGCCCTTGAGAGTTGAGGGACTGCTGTGGCCAAAAGTGGTCAGGCAGAGTTTCACAAGAGATGGGCTGTGGGCCACTAAAGAATAAGGCTATAAAATATATGGTTTGGGAAGGAATTGGTGGTGGTGGGGGGGGGGGTGAATCACATCTGGATGGGGAATTCTGCTGGGGTTTCATGGTTAATCCATGAACCTCATGCTGCACACGCTACCCCTACCCCACCTCCTCCATCTGGTCAGGTCCTGCCTCCTGCCAACCACCCGGATTTCCACCACCTGACCTCAGGCCCTCAGGAGTCTCTCGCCTGGGCTACGACTCCAAGGGCTTCATAAATAGCATTGTGGATCCTCTCTTCCTGCCACCAGAATGATCTGCTCCCACGTAACAGCCGTCTGTGACTCCCTACTGCCAACATGTTCGCGCTCTGGCCCTGGCGTCCCCAGCCTCTCCTCTCTGGGGCCTGCCTGCCTCCTAGCCACTCTTCCTGCACACTCACCCCCATTCCGCCACTCCTAACCAGCTGCAATTCCCCACCAAGCTTGTCCCTGAAATGCTTCCCTACCCGTTACCTTGAAAATCCCCTCCCCCAACGACTTCTTAGGCTTTCCAACGTACAGCTTAAAGATCACCTCCTCTATACAACCTGCTCTAAATACTCCAGCCCTTCCTCCCTCCTTCACACTCCTCCATAGGCCCTTACATTAGTTGTCAGCTGCATTTTAATTCTGAGGTAGTGCCCGGCCCTGGACCTGAGAGCTGGTGGGCTCCCTTGTGTCTCTTGTGGACAAGACATCATCACCACTCCCTGCTAAGGCTAGAAACTACAATTCCCAGAATGCTTTTCCCTCTGGGGTCCCAGGGTGCTTTGCCAATGGGAAATGTAGAAGATGAAACAAAACGCATCTAATTTTTAGGAGACCTTAATAGCCACACAAGGCAACTTTGCAGCTACTCCGCAAGTCGCCCCCTCCCTTGGAGGCTAGGGCTCAGATGTGGCAGCTTCTTGGATTCGCCATGGACCCTGCCTGGACCCTTAGACTACAGCCTCCCGGATCTTAGCTCTCCCAGCACCCCCAGCCCCCAATACGCTTTTTTTTTTTTTTAAAGATTTTATTTATTTATTCATGAGAGACAGAGAGAGAGAGAGAGAAGAGGGAGAAGCAGGCTCACAAGGAGCAGGGAGCCCGATGTGGGACTCGATCCCAGGACCCTGGGATCATGACCTGAGCCGAAGGCAGCCGCTTAACCATCTGAGCCACGCAGGCGCCCCACCCAACACTCTTAAAAGCTCCAATTCCTGTACTAAACCCCTTTATTCCTGCACGGTCTGTGGTGTTTTGAGGCTGGAAGTGCATCTTGTTCTTTGAGTTTTTGGCACAGTAGCATCTGGTCCATAGTAGGACACGCTTCAGAAGATACTGGTGAGGGATGAAGGCGAGGCGCTACGCAGCCTGGCTTTCCAGCACAATGTGTTCACTCTCTTCGTCCTCCAACCAATCTCTGCCACACCCTCAAGTTCTGGGAAAGGCACAGAACATGTGAGGAATCCCGCATCAAAGGCTGGCTGAGATGTGTACTCAAGGAACACACATGGAGATTAAGATGGGCTTTTAATTATAGAGGCATTTGGTAGTAAAAGATGCATGAAATCTAATTTCCCATTTAAAAAAAAAAAATTCCACTCGAGAGAATGAAAGAAAGGGAGGGAAGAATGAAAGCAGCTGGGAGAAACTTTCGAAACAGCGCAGGGCTGAAAACAACACTTACTGAGCAATTACTAGCCTAGAATAAGCAGCAGCTACGCGTGCTTTAAATGCCATTCAGAAGTTTAGAGTCTGCCTGGGAAGTCCCCAAGGAGACAGAGCAAGCAGAGAGTCCTGGGAGGCTCGAGGGAACTTTGGGAGCCTGGCCGGCAGGCGTGAAGTCCTCTAGGAGCCTCGGGCAACCACTCAGAGGGAACGAAGATGAGCCCCTCCTCTAGACCTAATCAGGAGCACGAACACAGATCAGCAGAAAGGACACGACTGAGAATCTCTCCTGGGAGTTGAGCGGCTGCTCTCTGTGACCTCAGCGCCCTCACAGCTCTCTGCCCGGTCCAACCAGGAGAGAAGAAAGAACAGTTTTCTTTGTTGTTCTTCCTGTATCCTCTGCCCAGCCCCTTTACATCTTATTCCAGGAACAACCGCTCAGTGCTGTGAATCAGGACAAGTGTAGAGTCCCTCACCAGAGCCCCAGTTCATGAACTTGTCCTTTCAGAGTTAGCAAAACGTGATGAGCAGACTGTTCCAGGAAGCACCAGGTAAACTCCCCAAGCCGTGCACACCCGCGGCGCACGCTGCTGCCTCTCACACAGACAGCCGTGGGCACGGGGGAGGGGAGGACACAGCCTGCAGCCTGGGAAACCGGACTGCTCGGGGAGCTGCAAGGAGCAACGCCCAGCCCCCAAGAGCTCACTTACCGGGAATGGGAGACAAAGTCATACACGGGAATCTGCACCGTCTTCCCTTCGGTGATTTCTTTGAGTGTTTTGAAGATGAGTTCATTGTCAAAGGCATCTGAAGGAAATCAGACTGTTAAAATGCTGCTGAATTTTAAAATGATTTCTCCTATAATCATCCACATCTATTTCCTGGACGTATACCCCACCTGGAGCCCCCACTGAAAAAACCCAGATCTCTACCCAAAGCAGAAGGTAAACTCCCTGGATCTCAAAATAGAACGTATGAATGCATTCCAAGAAACTCACTTCTTTTTTCTACCTTTCTATCCACCCTTGGCCTCAGCCACCTCTCTCCCCCCAAGTTCAGCTGCTGTCTTGGGAGCTGGAATACGTTAACCCGGAAAGCATACACGTGACTCAGGGAGCCATTAGGGGCACCAAGTTTTGATTCCAACAGTTGTTAAGAACCAAAACCTAGGGCGCCTGGGTGGCTCAGTCAGTTAAGCGTCTGCCTTCAGCTCAGGTCATGAGATCCCGGAGTCCTGGGATTGAGCCCCCCGTGGGGCTCCCTGCTCAGCGGGGAGCCTGCTTCTCCCTCTGCCTGCCTCTCCCCCGCCTTGTGCTCTCTCTCTCTCTCTGACAAATAAATAAAATCTTTAAAAAAAAGAACCAAAACCAGCTAAAGGGCAATGTGCTGATCTGGGACTGTCAAGGTAAACGTCACGCAGGCAGACATCCTGGACCCTCCACGGTCCTTTCCGCCAGTCAGTGAGTTTCACACTCTGCCTTGTGCACACATGTGTGGGATGGGGGGCAGGGGGCACGGGCTGCTTCAGATCAGAAGAGGCAGAAGAACCAGCTCTGTGCTGTCCTGTGTCTGGCCAATCTCAAGCAACAGGCTCACAAGGAGTCGCCCTCGTTCAGATGCAGATTCCATCCATATTTACTGAGCCACGCAACTGTGCAAAGTGTTTCAAAATTCTTTCTTGAGGCCCCACCATAACCCCGCAAGGTATTTATTTATCCCCCATTTTATCGATAGAAACAGATTCCAAGAGGTCAAACAATTTTCTCAGTGAACACACACACACACACACACACACACACACACACACACCCTCAACTCCTGACTCACCCGGGTGATCAAAATTGAACTGGCCCTTCAGGGCTTTGGCCTTCTGCTCCGACGTAAGGACGCGGTAGAAGCTGTCCTGGCTCAGGATGACCACCTGCTTCTGGCGACAGTCCACCTCATTCTGTCCCAGGAGCTGCACAATCTTAGCACAGACGGAAGACTGTAGGAGAGAAGAGAACACCGAGGATTAAAGGGGTGTGCAGAGTCGCTCCCGGATGCACACGCCCTGCACTAGGGGCTTCTGGAAGGAAGAATCCGGAGGCTACCATCTTGCATGACGGATTAGAAGGCTGAAGGAGAAAGTCCGCTGAGCGGGGAGTGTCCCAGAGCCTCTTCCTCCCTTCCTGAACACAGCTTACTACTCGCAGGTATCTGCAGGGGCCACAGGGGTGAGGAGGACAGTAACTTCTACCTCCTCTTCCGTAAAGTCTCTCCTAAAGCTACTCATACAAAGCAACACGAATTTATTTATCCCTGCTTCTGCCCCAGTATAGACACTCACAAAACAGCAGAAAGTGGAAAAGAAGACACACTGATGATGTTGCTGATGGCTCAAAGGGCCAGGGCCTCTGGGTCACGAAGTGACAGAGCACACACGTGGAATCAAAAACCCAGGCCAGAGAACTCGGCCAGTTAGCTAGAAGGCCAAGGTCATGGCTTTCGTCCTACTTCCGTGGCTTACTTTTGCTCTAGTGCCTCGCCATGGACTTGTTCACACTCACACTCACGGTAAGCCTCGTGGCCGCTTCACGAATACGCACCACCACTTATGAGCTGGAGTCACATGGGACACAAAACACGACCAACCCCTAAACCAACACGGGGTATCCCTGCCGTGAAGGGGACAGCTGGTTCCAGATGAACTCAAACCTACACGCTTTGTGTCGTGTTGTCAGCAATACACGTATCTACCTGTGATGCTGTGAAAATCGGAAATACCGTATTTAGTCCTCCTTGCATTTCTGGCACAGAGTTCTTAAAGCCCTTGAATTTCCTAAGTGAGGGGAGCAGTGCACCGGTCTTTGCTATGCTGAGGAGGCGGCTTCTGAAAAGCACCTAAGGATAGGGGCTGGTTGCCAGGGGAACCAGCCTGGTGAGGAGCAGGTTAGAACTTTCCATCCTACCATCCTGACCTCCAGGGAGGGGAGACAGAGGGGAGGAGGGGGGAGGCTGAGTCAGGGGCCAACAACGATGATATAACCAGAAATTCGTATGTCATAAAGCGTCCACACAAACCCAAGCGGATGAGGTTTGGTGAGCCTTCTGGTTGGTGGATGCATGGAAATGTGGGGACAGTGGCCCGCTCGGAGAGCACGGTAACTCCACTCCTCTTCACACCTGGCCCTACAGGGCATCTCTTCCACCTGGCCAGTCCTGCCTTATATCCTTTTATAATCGACCATTAACCTTGTAAGTAAAACGTCTTGAGTTCTGTGAGCTGCTCTAGCAAATCAACCAAACCCAAGGAAGGGGCAGCTGGAACCTTCAATCTCTGGCCAGTCAGCCAGGAGCACAGGTGACGACAGGTGCTTTTGAGGACACCTGATGGCAGGGCAGAGGGGCTGGGGGGTGCTCTCGCGGGACTGAGCCCTACCTGTGCGGCCTGAGCCTATCTCCAGGTAGTGTCAGAATTATTGGGGTGAATTCTGCTCGTGTCTGAGAAATGCTTGTTGATGTGTGGAAGCCCCCCCACACACACACACACACTGGAATTGCAATTGGGTACAGAACCTAAAATCTACCTCAGTGCACTCAAAAGAGTGAGAGAGTGAAGGACAGTAGTTACCAAATGAACTCGTTCCTTTTTTTCACTGTATACAGATTAATTTAAAAATAAGAATGCCTACATTACAAAAACCCTACAAGCCATAGCCAAGCCTCCTTATGGAGCTGGCTGACCTAATTACAAGAGATGAAAAGAGTGGCATAGTTACAGATTTCTTGGGCTCAGTCTTGGGAGCTTGCTTCACTATCGAACTTAACGTTACCAACTGGTTTTAATAAGGAAAAACCAGGACACTTTATAAAGTTCCATTTCTCATAAGCTCCGAATTTGATTTGTCCAAGCGTAAGGAAAACTGGACATTCCTGTTGCCCTAGTCAATCCACATCAAACTATTTTGCACAGTATTTCCTGTTGCACAAATTGTGACACACAACCAAATAAGGATCTTTGGAGGAACAATATTTTGACTCAATTGCTAATTATTTTGAAAATTACTGGGACACCTGGGTGGCTCAGTTGGTTAAGCGTCTGCCTCCAGCTCAGGTCATGATCCCAGGGTCCTGGGATCGAGCCCCACGTCGGGCTCCCTGCTCAGCGGGGAGCCTACTTCTCCCTCTGCTTGTGCTTGTGCTCTCTCTGTCAAATAAATAAATAAAATCTTTAAAAAAAAAGAAAACTATTTTACTTTTCTGACATTTTCACACATTAACAGAGAAGAATTTAAAACAGGATTTTTGGAATAGCACCTATTCCGGGAAAAGATCACAGAAAATCACAGAAAATCATAGAAAGGTAAAACTTGCACATGACTTAAGCTAGTTTCAAAAATGAAAATACCACAACAGAATCAAATCCTCTAAACAATTATAAATAATACATTTTTAAACAGGTGCAAGCTCATCATTTCCTTTTCCTAACTTACATCTGTTTCTTACATCCTAAGGCTATGCAGGGTAAAGTCTACACCTGTAGCTTTTATTAGAAGACAACAAAAATGAAGAGGGCTTCATGGAGCCAAATGTATTTAATCTACTTGATTATTCAAATCGTGGTATTTTTTACTTGTAGTTAAAACCCATTAAATGTTCTTTAGAAAAAATGAGTAGCAATCTCGCTACTACCCAAAAACGTGTATATAACGAAGTTACATTACCTAATTTTGCAGGTAAACAATCATTTCCCTTCACTCAGGTACAACCTAGGACAAATGGATATAATGGCCAATAAAACCGGGTTAATGAGCACATTTAGAAAGCCAGTGTTCATCACCATTTCTTATCAAAGATAAAGTCTTTGGGCTGTTTTGCTGGTCCACAGCTGTATGTCTCGGTTCCATGTTTTCATGGGCCTGTTCGGTGATCCTACTTTCTACAAACACGCCACCATCACCTAGAACAAATTTTATTAAAGTCAGGCCCTAGGCTAAGTGCTCCACGACACCACCCTTATAAGTCGCAAGTGCTGTCCTTCCCAGATGTGGAAACCGGGTGAAATGACTTGCCTACAATCCTGCTTCCTTTCGTCCTCAACCTATAAGGTAGTCAGAAGTCCCAAGGCAGAAGTCCTTTATCATAAAGATAAACACCACTGCGTGAACAAGCAAAGAAACGCCTATCTCCAGGTTAGTCTAGACTTTTCTTCCTCCTGGAACTTGTCAAAAATGGCCTCTAAAAAATCTAGACAGCTGTGGTATTGGGGGCAACGGGTACACAGGAGTTCATTATACTATTCCTCTACTTGAGGAGAGGTTTGAATTTTCACAAGATCGGGAGGAAGGAGCCCTACAGAGACTTCCCGGTGCCATAACCAAATGGTCTTTGCCTTATTTAATGTCCTCTTCTTAGGTCTCTTTCATGTTAATTTCCCTTTCCCCTAATCTCGCCCTCTTCAAAAGGATGAACTGGAACTCCAAGGTGTCTCCTTCGCTCAAGAAAAGAAATAAGGCAGGGTGCCTGGGTGGCTCAGTTGGTTAAGTGACTGCCTTCGGCTCAGGTCATGATCCTGGAGTCCCTGGATGAATCCCGCATTGGGCTCCCTGCTCGGCAGGGAGTCTGCTTCTCCCTCTGACCCTCCCCCCTCATGTGCTTTCTCTCTCATTCTCTCTCTGTCAAATAAATAAATAAAATCTTAAAAAAAAAAAAAAAAGAGAAGAGATAAGGCATTAATGACTAGGGTTGGAGAAGACAGACAGTTGTGAGCTTACAGAAAACGCCAAGGGTGGGCAAGGGTGCAATCGGTGTGGTGGGCTAAGATTTAAAATAATTATGTCACAGGAAGACAAAAGCTGTAGGATTCCAGTTAAAGAAGGTATCTAGAATAGTCAAATTCTCAGAAACATAGTAGAATAGAGGTTGCCGGGGGCTGGGGGAGGGGAGGAAGTGGGGAGGTATTCAATGGATATAGTTTCACTTTTACATGATGACAAAATTTAGGAGATTGGTTGCCCAACGATGTGACTGTACTTAATACTACAGAACTGTACTCCTGGGGCACCTGGGTGGCTCAGTCGGTTGAGCGGCTGCCTTCGGCTCGGGTCATGATCCCAGGGTCCTGGGATTGAGCCCCGCGTCAGCTTCCCTGCTCATCTGGGAGCCTGCTTCTCCCTCTCCCACTCTCCCTGCTTGTGTTCCCTCTCTCGCTGTGTCTCTGTCAAATAAAATCTTTAAAAAAAAAAAAAAATACTACAGAACTGTACTCCTAACTATGGCTAAGGTGGTGAATGTTACCAAACATGTGGATTACAATTAAAAGCAAACATTATTATTGTAACAAGAGCAAAATGGGCAGTTTCTTCCTAGATGGTACTCGGCTCGGTATTTTAAAATGATCTCACTTATTTATGACAACCCTCTGTGATAGAAAGGATTATCATACCCACTCCACTGACGGCAAGACTGAGATGAAGACAGGTTAAATGACTTGCACAGGGCATGGGTGGTAGGGCCAGGACTCAACCCAAGTGGTCCAAACCCCAGAGCTCACCCCCTCACTGGCTGCACCCCACAGGCAAACAGCTATTGCCCACTGGAGCTAGGGCTGAGCTTAGTTTTACGTGGCATCTCCACATTCAGTGCAACGTATCCAGAGTATATTCTGTTCCTGACACTTCTAGCACATTTTTCTAGAGGTGGGGAGGTGGAAAATAAGGCAGCTAGGACTGTGGGTTGCTGTCTGAATATGAAGTCCAGGTCAACATGAGGTTAATTTTAGAAAAGGGGGAGTATATATATGTATATACACACGCACGCACAGACACACATATATGTATGGAATAATCAGTGAAGGGGATTTACAATTTCTTCACTTGTATGGCATTTGAAGACACCATCTCCTTTAATTCCATTACAACAAGATGTTACTATTTTATCTCTTTTTTTATCTAATGAGGAGCCTGAAGCTTAGAGTCCATCAGTTAAATGCCTAGTTCAAGGTCC